TTTTCGTATGATCACCAAAGTTAAGCAACGTCGAGCCTGGCCAGTATCTAGATGAGAGACCGCTTGGCAATACCAGGTGATGTAACCTTAGATGTGCAGGTAGCATGACTAACGGCCATATCTCATTGAAACACTTGTTTTCGTATGATCACCGAAGTTAAGCAATGTCGAGCCTTTTGAGTACCGAGATGGGAATACCAGTTGCTGTAAGCTTGGTTATGCAGGCGGTGCACTGGATAATGGCTCTGAATTGAAAATCAATGTGTCGAGTTCCAGTTCCAGTCGTGATCGTTTTTTTTTAAATACACTTACGTCCATATACCCCTGGGAAAGGTGTGAATTCACCTTTTCTCTCCCCAGCTATGGTAAGACTTCTATTAATAAACCATTAGTATAAAAAAATCTATGACAGTCCAAAGAACAGTGAAAAAAGACTCGAAAATGAAATCATAGGTGAAACGTGTGAGGCACCTTGTTACTCCAGGACAGAAAGTTAGAAGGTTAGAGAGGGCAAAGATCATCTTGAATAAGTTGGAAAATGATCCTGGAATAATATACATATATTTGAACTTAATTTCAGTCCTTCATGGACTTCTGATCCTTAGCTGTGATTAATTAATGATGAACATGTCATTTTCGTTTATGATCGATTTCATTACGATTCTTCCGTTAAGCTTGGGGAGTAATTATGCATTCTTATTGCTCAAAGTAGAGTCCAATAGTGTTATAAAAAAAACCTCGAAGAATTCTAGTAAGATATTTCTAGTCATTTCTAAAATACAACGGTTCAGAGCTTAATCTAACAAATAGACAATTTTGCTTTTACACGATTTGGAAGATTTTGCTGTTACACCGGGTATGTACCACATCCGTTCAAGACCTGGGCGATCTTGCCTCACTACAACATCCTGCCTTTGTTGCTCTAAGAGCATTGTGAACTTTTACCATCCTTTTTAGTCTCTGTTCTGCAATCCATGCACACAAACTCGTTGTAGTTTCCTTGTTTTTCCCCTCTTCTTAACTCGCTTTCAATATGTCCTGGGTGTGTTAACCAAGTCCTTTTGATCTGTTCTATGTAAGGTCAGGCTTAGGCCTGCTACTGGCAACATGCAACTCAATACAACCTTTTCTGTAAGTGAGGAGGGTAATATGTTACTCCACAGTACGAAAAACAAGACCTGCTAAATGTGGACACGCTTCTTATAGGAGCTAACGGTCAACACACAGGCACATACACACACATACACATATATATAATATTAGTGGTCAATATATATATATATATATATATATATATATATATATATATATATATTTCCAAAAGGATAAAATCCAGGTAGAGCTCTATGTACAAGACAGAGCAAGAATCTTACTTATTATAAAACCCAGTGTTGTGTGTGTGTGTGTGTGTGTGTGTGTGTGTGTGTGTGTGTGTGTACGTTTATATATTGGATCGGATTTCCTACATTTTTCAACCGATTTCAACAAAACTTCACAGGACTGCGTAAAATTACCTTGCGGTGGGTCTGACAGCGCCAAAAATTGGAAAAACACAATTGTTTTTGTACGAAATCAATTTGAAAACACGATAAAACACGATTCTGTTGCCAGAATGAAAGGGGGACAACTCATATCGAGTTATACTTCTTATAAAACCCATGTTGTTTGTGTGTGTGTGTTCGTTTATATATGGGATCGGATTTCCTACATTTTTCAACCGATTTCAACAAAACTACACTTTTTTTTGGCAGGTAGTATTTCTTATTGTCTTGCACACTTTTTTCTTTATTTTTACATTCAGAATGCTTTAAAAATTCCATTTACAAGACAATTGTTTATAATAAAATTCTCTTTTAATCGATAGACTCATAACGATTGAAAACAATGTTTTTGTTTGAGTTTGGGTTTGACCAATTCGTAAAAAAAAAAAAAAAAAACTAATTAAGACATGCGTGTCCGTCAACCTTAAACAATAATCTTTGTCAATTTTATTTTTCAGTCTTTATGATGGTCGATAGTTGATCTATCTCTGACTGTTACATCCCCGGGCAACGCCGGGCTCCACTGCTAGTATAATATAAAAGGTTCAAACACTAATATTCCATGGTTATAATTTATAACATTGGAATCGTAATCACGATCTAATTCATCAATATATATATATATATATATAAATATATATATATATATATATATATATATATATATAAAGGATGGGGCTCAAACCTTGAATGGCAACATTTCTAGAGATGGTGCTTCGAAAATACCGTGAGCATCCGAGTTTTGTGCCAAGAAGAGCATCCAGCCCTGCAAAATATTGCCTCAAATTAGTATGACAAATCTTTTGTCAGGTATAACCCACCTTGCTTTGTGCAAGATTAATTTAGTTAAAGGCGAATCGGGTCCTGCGCGGAATTACCCTGCCTGGCGCCACCACCTCAGCCAGGTATTCTGCCTATGCTGACGACGTTTCGGCTCTTGTGTCGAGCAGAGCCGAGATTGACGAAGTCAGCAAAGAAATAAGTGGGTATGAGATGGTGACGGGCCAAGATCAATCGCCATGAGTCTGTTGGCTTGCGGTTGGGTGCGTGGAAGGGAGTTTCTTTTCCCAGACCTTTCCCCTGGGCAGATGGGCTGGTCAAGATTCTCGGCGTCTGGTTCGGTCCTGATCTCCAGTTGGAAATGAATTGGTCGGAGGTACGAGGGAAGGTCGAAATCGCAATTAATTTGTGGTCTCGGAGGAATCTTTCCTTGAAGGGGAGGGCGGAAATATGTGTTTCACACATCTACCCGATTCTCCTTTACCGACTCTCTGTACTTCCACTTCCGTATACCACACTAATGTCCTTAGTAAGGCTCTTGTTCTCTTTCTTGTGGAGAGACAAAGCCGCTATGGTATCTCGGGAGGTCTGTTGCCTTCATCCATCTGAAGGCGGTCTGGGTATGCCTAGCACTGAGATTCGTCAATATATGCCTCGCATCGGGTTCCTAGATCGAATGTGTCGCGAATCAGATGAGGAGGCCGCCTTCTGGAAGGAAGACGCCCGTAAAACATTACCATCCCTGAGTGTGCACTGGAGCGAGGAGTAGACCCACCGTTTGCCCCGAGCCGAATGCTCCTTCTATCGTGAATTCTGTATTGCTCTGAAACGCCTCTTATGGGAGGCGGATGGCCACTCCAACGTCCAGGCGTTGTCTCGTAGGGCATTATAAATCAGGGAAGCCGTGCGTGATGAGCTAATTGACGAGCTCGATCTTACGAAGCAGATGTCTTGCTCAATACGGCCTTGGGCGCCCGGGTTGAAATACCTCAATAACGATAAGGCATGACTCACCTGGCTGATGATTGGTAGAGCCCTCTGAGTCGCCAAAAGACTTTGTTCAGCGGACTTGGAGAAATCTCCAAACTGCTGTCGCTGTAGTGGGTAAGTCTAGACCATTGGTCACGCCTTTTTTCATTGCAGGTTGGTAGCGCCATTGTGCAGGCTTGTTGAAAGTCTCATGGTCTGCATGCTGCAAGGAAAGTTCTTTGTCCTTTGAAGCCAGTTCTGTTTATAGCAAGATGGTGCCGTAGATGACGAAGGTTGAACAATATGTGTTCTTTTGCTTACTAGGGATAATGAGAGTCGTGAATTGGAGGACGCGTAAGAAGGAATTCTATGAGGGCGAGAAGTTCACTTCTTCCCGCCTGATTTTGTTCTTTAAGCATCAACTTAAAGTCAAGATTAGGACGGAAAAGCGGCGGCTCACCTCATCAGAATTTGGCAAAAGGTGGGTGACTTTTGTGCGGCTGTGTCGAGTAAAAGGGGCTGACCTAGAGTGGCATTTTAATGCCGGTTAGGCATCCAGATATTGTTCTTCCTGGGTTGAACTTGGGCACGCATCCCGATTTTAAGTTAGTGTAGGTTTTGCTTTTGAATCTTTAGTTTTGCCTTTTTCCAGTAAACTTACCTAGAGTGTATTTGCTCATTGGTCCCTTTTATTTCTGTCCCTATTTTCTCTTTAGTTTAATTCCCCATCCCCTTCCTCGTTAGGTGGTCAGTGATGTCAGTTCTCTGGTGGATGCGGGGTGCTTTTGGTTTTTTTTTCCACCTGTGTGTGTTATTTCGTCCAGTGAACTGATATTTCTGCCACATTTAAGTATTGTGTGTGTGTGTGGGCGGGGGGTTATTACTAACAATTATTTTGTTTAGTTTCTTGTAAATGGATTAATTCGTATTGTATATACTCATTGGAGATCTTTTTAATTTGTTGTATTAAACATACGACGATTTGTACATATGGGGACTATTTAGGATTTCCATTGAGACAATGAGGTATTATGGTGAATGTAGTAAGAAGGATTAGTAAGAATGTGTTGTTTTGGTGTTAGGAATATTGTTTGTATGCTTGGGTCAGTGATTGTGGCTAGCTAAGTTTAAAATTAAGACAGATGAAGACCGTCCTTTTACCTATCCCCTTTTTAGGCCTTGTGCCACATTTTCTGTATATTTCACAGAAATAAATATCGTAATATGCTGTAGTCCACCACTAGCAGTGGTTTACCTACTTCACGCCGCTGGCGAGTATTGTATTTTGTTGATGTTATAAAGATTACCATTAAAATTCCAACCTCCGTTTTGGTTATTCCTCATTTAGTAACCATTTCTAGGTTACAACAGCGTTGATAAGCCGTCAAAAATATCGATCAATTCGTAGACATGAAAATTTAATTTAAAAAAATTATTTTCTACTGACAGCATCAGATTGTCCGCTCTTTCAAAATTAATTTTGATTCGGATGTCAACCCTCTCTTTCTCCTGTGAAACTAACTCAATGGTTTTCTATAGGGAGGCATTCAATGAAGACGTCAAATCGAGAGGGAAGAATTTTAGCAAGGGAAGTAATTTCTATCGTAGACAAAAGACATAACTGTGAAAGAAAAAAAAAAAAGAAACTAGATGGAAATTCAAAATGGCGAAGGGTGAAATTGAGGTTACCTGTGACTGTAAAGGAAGGAATGTAATTTGGTTTTATGAGAACTACAATAGTAGCTAAATCATATTGATATCTGAAGATCTGTAAAAAACATTTCATTACAGCATCCCGACATTTACAATCTACGATCAACATCATTATTCATATGCTGAATACCTTCAGAACTTGGGCGATCATAGCTCTCCACAACTTTTTTCCCTTGTAGCTCGTAGCAACATTTAAATTTTTACCGTCCCTCCTTGTGCCTGCTCTTCACCCCATTATAGAAACACATTAGGTAAGGTGCTAACATTCTCCCTCTACTCCCACTGTGAATATTTTTCCGAATCTTCCTTCCTCATAATGTCCCAGAAAATTACCCACAGAAGAAATCCGAAGTATTTATTTTTACTTATCTATTTATTTTGCTGTCGTTGTTGCTGTGGGTTAAGCAACGGTATGGAGTAATTGAATACCATTCTGAGCCTGTATAATACGCAGCATACAAGATGGCGGAGATTATTTAATAAAAATAAGAAAGAAAAACCGAAAAGAGGGTGAGAAAAAGGGGACTATATATTTGGGTGTATTTTCCTTTCTGGTAATGCTTTACACACACACAAACACATACACGCACTCGCGTATGTAATGCTCAACATATAAGAAGCGACCATTGTATACAGGCGGTGACAGCAAACGTTTCTTTCTCTTCCCGCCAATAGTGAGCAATTCAGACGACAACCAGGCGTAGCTTTTTCCGTGATCCAATTATACGAGTTAAAGCAAAGAATACAAGAGATATTTGATTAAAATGCAAGTAAAGCCAAAAAGAAAATCAAAGTAAAAATGTTTAAAAGAATCCGCGCTAGTTCACCAGCCATTGCGTTAGGAATATTTTAATTCAGAGGAGAAGGAGAAAAATTAGAGGGAGGAAAATCCGAGAAACAAGGAAAGAGCAACAGAATGAAGGAATGAATCAAACAAAGAAAGTGATGAGGTGTAGAAAGACATCGAAATATGGTGGAGAAGGAAAAATAGAAAAAATGGAATGTCAAAGGAGAAAAGAAGAAAAAAAGAGAACAACAACAAAACAAAAAAAGCAGAAATAATGACGGATTAGTGGAACGGAAAAGATATTAAGAGAAAGAAAAATGGAAACAGTAGTTAGAAAAAGGAAGAAAGAAAATCTAATGGAAAAGGGAATTAAAAAACAGAGTGTCAACTGGAAGGAATATATATATCGTATATTTCCGCATATAAAGCACCCGTTAGATAAGACTAGATAAAAAATATAGCAATTTTTTATGAATTTATTTTAAAGCTCTGGTATAAGACGACTGCTTATTGATTATATAAAGATTATGTTATTGGAAATGGTGTTACTTAGTGTATTCTTAGAAATAAAAATAAACGAAATAACAAAACGGATTCTATATCATGTTTTTCCTACACACGTCCCCTAAAAAGGAAACCATTGTTTTACGTTTCATCATGCGATATCTTGCGAATACTGATTCTTCTTCTTCTTCTTCTTCTTTTATATTTAAACAGTTCAAAACAGCCTGGTGTACTAATGACCATTTACTTATACTTCATCGACAACCACAAATACCACTAATAACTACGATAATGTAAGATAATACTACATTTTATTCAGTCGGACTGGAATCCCTACGATGAAGGCATATATGACGAATCTTGTGATGTGTTAGTGAAACTTTTTGAAACAGATACTGATGTTTGTGAGGAATTTGATGAGTTTTTGATAATGCATGTAGCAGTGGTATTTTATTCCTATTGATAACTTGATGGGAAATAAATAATTTTATAATATCCTAAAAGTTTTAAATACAACTACCGTAAGAGGATTTTTATTTGAAAAATAAAGCTTGTATGCAATAGTAAACTGTGTTATTATTTAACACCAAAATGATAATGAAGTATTAATGAGAAAATAATGAATTTTATGTTATCCTAAATGTTATTACTGCATTAATTAATATTACCATGATGATTATTGAAAGTTTACCTAAAGATAAATGTTGCTGTGAATGCAATCATAACTCAATGTTTATATTTTCTCAGCTGAGCTTGCATGGATAAAGTTGATTTCATTGATATGGAATTATTCTTCGAATAGGCAATTTATTATGAACTTATACCAGTAATATATAAGGTAGAAATGGTTTTATTATTTTTATTATCAGTTTATTTGATAATGTGAATCTTTTCATGTACATAATGGATTATCGCACTTAGGTCGAGGTTAGCCTACCGACAAGCACCACTCAGAATTTAAAGGTTCTTTTTTAGAATTGTAGTATAAGAAGACACAGTGGAGTAATGGTTAGTGGCTGGGATTGCGGATTTTGAGAGCCGAGTTCGAATTCCAGTTGAATCCATTACATTCAATGACGTGCTAATATCGAGAAAGGTATGAATATTCTTCTTCCACCCCCTCCATCAGCTATGTATAAATAGCAGGACAGACAGGGTTCTGTAGCTTTGGATAACAACTGGTCTACCGCAGAAAGAAATGGCAAACCACTGCTGGAAAAAATTTGCCTCGTCAGTCATGTATGTGAAGATACATGATAGCCTAAGCTTGTATTACGCATAACACATAACTGACTGATGTGTTAATAACAGTAGGATAATAGTACAATACATTCCTGTAAACGCAATCATAACTTGATGTTTATATTTTCTCAGCTGATCTTGCATGGATACAGGTTGATTCCATTTATATGGAATTATTCTTCGAATAGGCAATTTGTTATAAAAAGTCATGCCAGTAATACATAAGGTAGAAATGGTTTTATTACTTTCATTATCAGTTTATTTCATTTTTCAAATTATCAAATAAGTTTTCTGATTTCGCTGTCTATGCGTCTGGTCTTTTGTTGGGAAAATGGCTGAAGTATCTCTAATGAAAAATTAATTCACCTTTCTTTTTTTAAATTCGAAGTGAAACTAATGATGTTAATCTTTTCATGTACGTTATTGGTTATCGCACTAGTGTCGGGGTTAGCCTACCAACAAACATCACTCAGAATCATGGTTTCTTTTTTAGAATTGTAGTATAAGAACACTCCCAATTTTTAAGGTTGATTTGGGGGATTTAAAGATCGTCTTATACGCAGAGGAGTGGACGGACAGGTCCTCCTATGAAACTCTAGAGTCGGAATGCTGAAGGTAAGATCAATCAGCTAAGCGACAAACTTTTACCCCCATTAATCCTATTAATGCTCTGTCTTTGATATTGTGGGAAAAGAAGTGAAATTACCTGCGTGTATTGGGTTGCGGTCAGACGTGGGAGGCGGCGTGTTTGTCATGGCTTGTTTTTCAAAGCGAGGCCGCTTCTTTTTGTAATCTTTTTACCGGAAAGGGTGGGATGCGCAGATCTGTCACCTTGTTACTTAAGGCTTGCTTTCCTTCCCTTCTCATCTTTTTTTTTTTTTTTTTCTGAGTTACCCTTTGAGTCGAAAGGAATTTTCGACAATATCGAGCACTTTGTTGCAAAGACTGCTTGTCTTTAAATGTCTTTTCTCAAAATACCTCATTGACTGTCAGCATTTTTGGCTTCATACTTGACTCAGCTCCTGAATAGTTATTCTCAGTTGGCCTTTTTTTTTTGTTTTGTTTCTTTTTATCACTTTTTCACGGCATTCAATTCTGCTAGTATATTTTCTCAAAAAGAAAAGAATAACACACTTCTTACATCAACATGGAATATACACAGTTACACTCCTTAAAAAATATACCAACATCAAACCTACATGACTACAAAATCCAACTTACAAAAAATAAAACACTTTATAAAACGAACAAGATGGAAAGTATTCTATTTCTTCAACAAAGACACTGACAAAGGTGTGAGCCGCAAAAACACCGATAATACCAATAATATTAACAAATTTAAATTTACATCACTAAAATGCCCACCACAGCAAAATGACCTAATTGCTTTTGAAAATGACTTAACAAAGAGAATCAATAATTGGAAAATAAGTAAATTCAACTATAATTTCCAAAATATACCTGAAAAAATAATAAACAACTCAAAAACATTTATAAAAACAGATAAATTCAGGATAATTTATAAAATGGAAACCAATAATTACAATAAACTAGTTGACAAAGAAGTCATTAAATTTTACAAAACCACTAATAACGAAACAGAAAGTGATATAAACACTAAACTAAAATTAGACAATAGGATAAAAAAAAAATTAACAAAAGTAGAACCATTTATTAAATTAAAAATCTATAAGGACAACTTCACAACCAAACCAAAATGCAGATTACTAAACCCCACAAAAAGTAATATTGATAAAATAAGCAAACAAATATTGGGAAAATATGCTCAAAACTAAGAAACACAAGGAAAAATACAAAAGCAACAATCGTTTTAATAACATTAGTAATAAAGAAAACTGCTCCTTCACACAATTAGACATAAAAGACTTCTATCCATTTATACACTAAACAACGCATTAAACTTAGCAAAACAATACATGACTATCCCAAATGAGAAGATATATATAATCAAATACTGTCGAAAATCAATATTATGCCACAATAAAGATATGGACTAAAAAAACATTTAAACGGACACTACACTATAATTTTCAATAGCTCATGCTTAAATGAAAGAATACTGTTCTCAAATAACAGTGTTTCAAAATAAAATTGTCGACGATTTTTTAAGTGATTTTTTGCGACAATTTATTGTACGATAACAATTTTTATAACTTAGAAATAAATTTGTGAATAATCGGAATTAATTGCGAAATCCAGCGAAAGTCACCCATGAAATAAAAATAATTGTTTGTACGGAAAGTAAGGACCTGCGTACATCAAATTGTCTTTAGATTAAGTGGCGGCAGAAAAAATATCGTTGAACTTTTAAAAGGTAAGCTTAAATATTAATGCAGTACTTAAATGCAGTGATGAAGTTTGGGTTTTTCTGTAGTTTATTGTTGTCTATATAACATCTACTCTTCCCTTCCTATTGTGATCAAGGCCCTATCAAGAGCCCTCTGCAGTAGCTAGTTTAAATGACGCCTGATAGGTCATTTTTAAGCTAATCATTAGATATTTTAACAAAAGCCGTCGTCACTGGTGTGCCACGATCAAAAGATTGAGAGACTATTTGGATAAACTATTTTCCCATTGCTTCCATACCACTGAGTTAACGCTAACAGTTAATAGCTGTTACCCCTGTAATTAGTCTTGACAGGGGTTAGAAAATTTTGCCTCTTTTCTGTTTGGGTTAAATATTAAGACTTGTATCGGAAAACCAAAAAATTATTAACACAATATTCACTCGCAAAAAAGGTGCTGTAACCTTGGGTGTGCGGGTGGTGTAATGGATAACGACTCGGAATTGGAAATTGGAGAGCCAGTCGGGTTCATAAGATACACTAAGGCGCAAATACTAGTGGGAAAGTTATGAATCAACATCTTCTCCTCCCAGCTATGGGTTAATTAGTAAAACCTACGTCAGTAAAATCATTATTATCGCCAAAAAAAAAAAATCTTACAATCCAAAAATATTTATTTATTTATTTAAATAACCTGCAAGAGGTTGGCAAGACATAAAAAATAAATCAATCAATAATAATCGGAAAGTGAGCTGACAATAGTACTCTTGTCCGTAAGCACGTTTGTTATATAATCGAAGAGAGCGATCATTTTGAAGTTAATCGAACTGATTGGTAAAATCAAAAAGCAGGCGATTTGTATTCATTAAGAAATGCTTCTTTAAGTGAAAAGACGATCAACGAGTATTGATCTTTTCGTTAGGTATCCATTTGCTTGATTGAGTCCAGTGTTCAATGATTGAACAAGGCCAGGAAATGATGCGAGCAAATTTCGTAAGTCGTCAAATAATACCATTTATTTGAAATCGGAAACAAGACGAAAATGGAGTCAGACGCGATTGATTTGAAAATAAAAGCTCATTGAACATCAGGAAGGTGGGAAAAAAAGCCTTTCAGTAATTGGAA